TGGGGGATGTGAAAGAGATGAGGGAAGAGAGATGGGGATGTGAGAGAGATGGGGGAAGGGAGATGGGGATGAGAGAGAGGGGACTTACCTTGGGGGGAGTGGTCGCCAGTGTCTGTGCTGGTCGCCGGAAGTGAACTAGCCGTTAGGGCTGGGTGAAATTTCGGGGAGAGAGAAAGTCGCAGAGGAGAGAGAAAAAGTCGCTGATCAAAAGAGTACAAAGAAAAAAAACCATATCTTTTAAACAAGGGAAGGAAATATTTTCATTCAAAGATTTTGACCAAAACTCAAAGCCATCTAATAGAAGACCTTACATTCAATCCTAAGGAAAGTGCACCTGGTATCACTTCTCTTCTGAAGTCATCAGCCATGGATGTTTTATATCAGAAGTTTTATCATGGCATTTCTATTAGCAACATAGATATCTATGCTGGGGAAATTTTCATGACCAATTTCATTGAATTTTTCTGACTTTTGCACCTGATATTACGCACTCAATCTTGTTCATACTTTTCTTAGTAGTGTGAAATGATGTGATGAGACAAAAGGAGACTAAAGATGCTATCAAGGAATAGGAAGATATGAATGAAAAAGAAAAAGAAATACGCTGTTGTGTGGTTTGTCTTTGAACTCAATAACTTAATTTATAGAATTCACTAGGAAAGTTCCAATTTCTGTATGCTTGAACAATTTTCTGCTTCAAACTGCAACAGTTATGTCGGCTCTGTTGTTTTGGCGGGCTTCTAAGAGTTTCTGGAAATCCGATAAACAAAGATGGTAACCACGAGGGACTAAAAACTCCTCACTGGATACTCCTCTAGTATATACCAGCAAACATCTTCTTATAGCATCAGCAGTTCCCTGGGAATTGAAGAAATCACAGAGAAGATAAGGTTCGGTATACTTCTAGAAAATATCAGTATCACAAAGTTAACACTCTGATACTGATTTTTTTTTTTCTTTCTTTTCACCTGAAACCAGCCCTCCCTTTCAGGACTCTGAAAAGCTGCAATGCTTCGACTGAATGCGTCATTGCCAAGGCCGGCACGAGAATAAGCTCTTGCTAGGTGCGAATTCAGTAAATTGAGTAAGT